CTCCCTCTCCTCTCTCTCTCTCTCGCGCGCGCGCTCTCTCTCTCTCTCCCTCTCTCTCTCTCTCCGTCTCTCTCTCGTTAATTCCCCCTCTCTCTCTTTATCTCTCTTTTTCTCTCTTTAATTCCCCCTCTCGCTTTATCTCTCTATCTTTTTTTCTTTTGCTCGCTCTCTCGCTCTCTCTATCTCTCTTTTTCTCTCTTTAATTCTCCCTCTCTCTTTATCTCTCTATCTTTCTTTTTATTGCTCGCTCTCTCATTCTCTCTCTATTTTTTTCTCTCTTTAATTCCCCCTCTCTCTTTTTTTCTCTCTTTAATTCCCCCTCTCTCTTTATCTCTCTATCTTTCTCTTTTTTGCTCGCTCTCTCTCTCTCTCTCTTTTTCTCTCTTTAATTCTCCCTCTCTCTTTATCTCTTTATTTTTCTCTTTATTGCTCGCTCTCTCTCGCGCTTTCTCTCACATTATCTCTCTTTAATTCTCCCTCTCTTTTATCTCTCTATCTTTCTCTTTTTTGCTCACTCTCTCGCTCTCTCTCTCTCTCTCTCTCTCTCNCGCTGTTATCTCTCTTGTACCCTTTCTCTCTCCTCCTTCTCCTCCTTCCTCCCCTCCAATCACATAGCTCTGCGGTATTTATCTACCTCGAATTTATTTCCCACCTCTCAGGCGATATACCGGAATATTCTCCGGCCCTCCTCCCCCACTTTTCCCCACTAATTCTCCTCCCCAGCCTCTCTTTCCCTCCACGCTCCTCCCAGCTTCCCTCTTTTCTGCCGCGCCACCTCTCCACGCCCTTCCACCTTACCTCCACTTCCCCCCGTGTTCCCCATTCCTACCTCTCCTCCCTCCACCTCTCCCACTTCCCCCTTGTCTTCCTTTCCCAGCCTCTCCATCTCTCTACCCTCGCCCTCGCTCCCCCCACTTCGCCTCCAGCTTTTCTCCTTATCCACACTCCTCGCCTTCCATACCACCCTCCTACCCACTTCCCACCCTTCCATCTCTCCCCAAAAAAAGCCTTTTGCCTTCCCATTTCCTCTTAGCCACCCTCACTCCCACTTCCCCGCCTTATCCTCCTTCCTACCTTTCCTCCCTCCACCCTGACCTCCCCACTTCCCCCCTTTCTCCTTCCCACCTCTCCTCTCTCCACCCTCCTTCCCCCCCACTTCCGCCACCCCTTCTGCATCCTCCCCACCTCTCATGTCCTTCCTCCCCCTGCACTCCCCTCCCCCATTATCCCCCTATTCTCCTTCCCACCTCTCTACTCTCCACTCCTCACTTCCACTCTCCTTCCTCACCTCCTCCCCAACTTCCCCACGATTCTCCTTCCTACCTCTCTCCTCGCCCCACCCTCCTCCCCCTTCCCTTTCTTCTTCCCCACCTCTCTGCTCTCACCTCCTTCCACCATCTTCACCCCCAGTTTCTCTCTCCAACCTTTCCTCCCTCCACTCCGCCCCACCTTTCCTCACCTTCCACCCTGCCTCCCACTCCCGCTTTTCTCCTTCCCGACCTTCTTCTCCACCCTCCTTCCCACCTCTCCTCCCTCCACCCTCCGCCCCACTTCCCCCCTTTCTCCTCCCCACCTCTCTTCCCTCCACCCTCCTCCCCACTTCCCCCCTTTCTCCTCTCCACCTCTCCTCCCTCCACCCTCCTCCCCACTTCCCCCCTTCCTCCTCCCCACCTCTCTTCCTTATAATAGAATAATAGCAATGATAAAAAACTAATAACAGCATAAATATAATGATAATCGTAGAAATAATGAAAAAAATTACAACAACGATAGAATAATAGAATAGATATATATAATGTATATGTATATGTAATACATAATATGTAGCAATGATAGGAAAATCATAATGATCGTACCAATTTTTTATTTTATTATAATGTCGTGGAAAAGTTTGGGAGAGGTTGGAGTAGTGAGCGGTAGGCGTCTTTGATGGCAGCGCCGCGCCTTGGCGTGCTAGTAAACTAAACGATAAAGTTTCATGTGGGTCGTATACAGGAAGGAATAAAACTTTAGGTTTGTGTTGTACGTGTCCTAACTGCACTCGTTCCTGTTTATAAGTAATTACTCTCCCACCAGTATCTATCTGTGTATCTCTTTCTCGCTCTCCGCTCTCTCTCTCTCACGCTCTCTCTCTCTCTCTCTCTCTCTCTCTCTCTCTCTCACGCTCTCTCTCTCTCTCTCTCTCTCTCTCTCTTTCTCGCTCTCCGCTC